GTTTAGACTTCGACTTGAAGACAAAAATTTGATATAAAATTATTGTCGAACATAAAAGACAGAAAAAATATGATATGATATGATTTTATCTAAAATGTTTTGTTCTTATTTTATTTTTTTTTTATTTTTTTTATTTTTTTTTATTTTTTTTTCATTATTATATATGACTTTATTTTATGGTTTTGTTTTAAATATTGGCTTTCAATCATCGAGCGCAGAACATATCGCAAAAACAACAGAGGAAGTCGTTAAAATGATTGATACGAAACTAAAAGTTTTATTTAAAAAATGACAAAGAATCCATTTATCCTTTGTTTACATAAATGCATAAACATTTACATAAAACAAAGTTTATTAAATAGTAAATAAAAATAAATAGAAATATATTCATCAATTTGTGCAAATATACGTTGAATTGTTATGTTGAAATGCTATCCGACACATGGAGTGAGGGATGAGAATACAAATATACTGTAAGTTGTACACTGAAACTTATTAAGCGATTTGGTGTTTAGGAAAAGTTGGTATGATTGATGGATCTCGTAACTCAAAACATATTTAAATAATGTGAAAATAAATTTATAGATTATTTAACTGTTGCATGAAGTGAAGTTGAAGTAGATAATGACTATTAAAGCTGGAAATTATTTGAGTTGTATTGCTTTAAAATGTTTTTTAAGCTTGAATTGAACAATACATCTATGTTGAAGCTATTTGAGCCAGTGCACTTGTGCACTTTTACTCGAGGTATCTTCAAAACCCCTCTTTGTGCCTTCATCAGACTAAGCAATAATTGACTTTAGATCTGCATATCTCCCCGAGGAGCCTGCAACCATTCGGAGATTCGATAACGTGGCGTTGGTAAATCTGTCAGTTTTAGCAAATAATTTCAAAGCTCTATCCTTTATGTATTTTTTGATCGAATTAATCTTGAAGTCCCTGAGGATTTCATTCGTCCTAATGTACCATGGTAAAAAGTCTTCTCAGAGCCTGGCTTTGTGCAATTTCTAGCTGGTAAATAGTAGTGTTTGAAGCTTTGCTAAACGCTACACATCCATATAGAAGTGACGGACGAATTATTTGGTTATATATCAGCTTCCTGTTCTTAGCATTGAGATTTTTATTTCTGAATACAGTTACGTATAATAAGATTTAAAGAGTGTATTAAATTTTTATTAATAAAATTTCTGTATTATATCTAATATCCTAACAATGCCGACAATGATTGTGGTCTAAGAAATAAGCTTCTTCTTTGAGTAAACAAAATTTAGCATTCCTTTAAAATGTCAATCCCTAAACGAATGGTTCACAAGTACTTGAAGTGGACAGAACTCAGTTATAAGCAATTATTTTTTATTCATTTTTCGTTTTATCAAAGGCAGTCAAAGCAAGTAAAACTGTTCGCACAGGACGTTGATCCTCTTAAACTGTGTGCAATTTGCATTTGTCAGTTTGTTATTTTTCCCTCATCAAAAGTGTCTGAGCTATTGAAAGCCAAAGGTAACCAAACTGTTTTATTAGTAAATCTATGAAAATGACTGCATACTCCAAATCTTTAAAATCAACAAAACTTTCTAACTCTGTAGGATTAAAAAATATTATCGAACACTTCGATTTGTATCCTTTGAAATAACAAATAATCGTTAAACGAATGTTGACATTTGTTATTTTCTGCTTTCAGTTCTCGTTATCCTTCCACTCAATCATTTTGACAGTTTTACTATTTTTGCTGTTAACATGTCAAATATTTGCAAAAATATAAATTTCAAAAATGCATACTTTGTCCTGACTGAAGGACTTTAGGGACTCACAGCGAAGTCATGACGAATTTAGAGTAATATTATTTGAAATTTGATATCAAAAGACACTGAAATATTATTGCACAAAATAAAAACCAATTTTACCAACCATGAATGTTTTGTTTCATAATTTTGAAAATATTTTTACAATAATAAAACTAAAATAAAGTTGATTTTGATATGCACTCCTTTAAAAGGACAGCTGCTCTTATGTGATTTATAAAATTTGCATTAATACCAAAAACCATCAAGCACAGTAAATTGCTTTCGATATTCTGTTATTAATTTTTCATTGGGATTTTGATGATATTTCGTTGATTTTAGCCAGATACGTTACAATATTTAAAATAACACTATAAATCGCATTTCTGTAATGGTTTCTAAACCAGGACTGGTCTAAGCAGGACCCACAGGCCATACGAACCGCATGTTACAATATTTAAAATAACACTATAAATCACATTTCTATAATTTTTCTAAATCAGGGCTGCCCCAAGCAGGACCCACAAACCGCATGTACAGCATGTTACAATATTTAAAATAACACTATAAATCACATTTCTATAATTTTTCTAAATAAGGGCTGTCCCAAGCAGGACCCACAAACCGCATGTACAGCATGTTACAATACTCAAAATAAGACTATAAATCGCATTTCTGTAATGATTTCTAAACCAGGAATATCCTAAGCAGGGCTATCCTACAGGCCACAAGCGGTTCACAGCTAATGTTTGTGCGGACAGCGACTAATTTTTACGCGGCCCACAACATGTTTCTAATCTATCACAATTACGCATTTCTTTTGATGTACTTTAATAGAATCACATTATTTTACTTTTATAGTATACCAAATAAAAGAATTTATATTAATATTCTTTTTTTTTCAGAGTTGATTTTTTCTTTCAGAGTTGTGAAAAAACAACATTAAGTCTGGTTAAAACCCAATTGCCATCACTTTTAAAATATGCTAAATGCCTAATTTTTGCATATGTTTTTTGTTAGTTGTATACATTGTGATATATTATAATTCTTAACACTAGGTTAGGTTAGGGTTATGTTACTGGGGCCGTCCGAAGACTCACTTAGACCATGAGGTCCATTGTGATACCCTAAAGAATTTGACACCTGTCCCTATAAACACTTGGTATTGGCTACAAAGCCATTGACACGAGCTATGGAAATAGAATGTAGCTCTCTTAGTGAATAGAAAAAGTTCGACCCTAAGTAGGATAGTCTATGTCTATTGAAGGCAGGACACTGTAGCAAAAGGAGTGTTGGTGATTCCTCTTCATCATCCTCCATGCAATGCCTACAATGTAAGGAGGTCCTGATGTTGAGCCTCACGGCATGTCCTCCCAACGGGCAGTGTCCCGTATTAATTCCCACTATCCTGGATAAATTTGCTCGGGATAGGTTGATTAATTCCCCCGATTCTTAACACTAAAACTTGATTAATTTAAATAAAAGAAAATAAAATGAATAATAGAAGAGCAATTGTAAGCATTTTTTATCTAATTGCTTTGATATATTGCAATTTATTATTATTTCTGCTCATATCATTTTAACAGATGATTTGAATTTGGCAATATTTTCGAGTAAACATTCACAATAGACTGATTTTTGAATTTGACTGCACTAAAAGTTAAGACATAAAAATTTTTGCTAGTAAAACCTAACTCTGAAGGTTTTAAGAGCATTGTTGTTGAATCACATGTTTTCTTTCGCAAATTGTAAGTAATTTTTTTGTTATTCTGAAAGAAAAATTACGACTATGGTATTACAACCGAATTTTTATTTTTTTCCATAACAACTGTGAATGTATGTATTTGTTCCTGCGGCCCTCCAATCTGTACAGTGATTTGTATTGGCCTTCGAACGCATCTGGTCTGGACAGCTCTTCTCTAAACTATAACTACTACTATTGTCCATTTCCCCTAGTGGGGCATGTATGTACTGCTTAAGCTAGCTCATTTTCGATTGTTCTTCTCCATGTTTTCGCTCACGCACCAGGTCTTTTGTAATCTTGTGGATTTAATGCCAATACTTTCCTCACTATATAATCTATCGGTTATCTAAACGTATTCTATTTAAGACATTTATAACATTTTTAAAATTAATTTAGAAGTAATAAATTAGAGACAAACAAATCTATTGGGACAAAGTATTACGAACTTAATAGATGTTTTATATCGTAAAATTGTTAAACTTTTTGTAGTATGGAATTTATATGACGAATGGGAAGTAGTTTCAGACCAGACCGATTTTGTTTCAAATTTTTAGTGAAACTAAATCGTACTCTTAACATATAAATCAATATTTTGGTGCATAAAGTTCTGGTGATGTGTCCAAATTTAAATTCTAATGTTTTACAATTTGATTTTTATGTTTTTCACTTAAAGTTTTAATACTGCCATAGACCTCTAGCATTTCATTTTTACAGATGTTATATACATATGTGCATGTCGCTTTTAGTCTTTCTGTATCGTAGATAAGAATAGCATTAACAATATTGTAAACACGCACCTTAGTTTACTGATAACTTCCATTTTTACAAAGATTCATTCGGGAGTAATAAAAAACAGGGACTTATAATGTAAAGTCACTCTATTAAACCTATAATTTCATAAATAGAATTAAAGCTCTTTGTATAGAATTTTATTATTTGTGCTTTATTTATTCTGCGTTTAAACTAAAATACTTGGTTCCTTACTTCTAGTCAAAGTTATGATGGTGACATTTCAACGAATGTCGTGATCTATAGTTCTTCATTAAAAAAAAAGTAGCTCTAAAATGTTAACTTCACCATCTAGACAAATATCTTTAAGTGTAGATAAAGATTATATATTCAATTATTACTTTTTCTTACAATTGTGCTTAACAGAACGAAAACCTGTTTATGTTCTATTAGACATGTTTACTATGATCGAATACATAATTAGTATCGTTTTTTTATTTGATCAAGAAAATATTAATTTAAGAACATTAGCATAAATTGTGATCTATAAGAACATTTGGTGAACTTTGAACTATAAACTTTGGCTCAGAATTTTAACGGTCCCTTTGGCGCAGAGGATAGCGCGTTGGACTTCTAATCCAAAGGTCGCGGGTTCGATCCCCGCAAGGGATGTGTCAAAATTTTTTTTTTTATTTCATCATTTCACAAAATTATTTTATAACTTCTTTTTATTTAAAATATATACTATATGTATTTACGCGCACAAATTATAAACAAAAATAGGTATTGGTTTAAACATAATCAATTTTTAAGTACTCTTTTGTAACGATGGAGATAGATTACGCTCTAATACATTTGATTTCAGTCCCAGTTTCTCAACGTCAGCTGCATTTAATAACACATCTTCTTCTGTTAACCGCTCCATACGATCTTCTTGAATTGATTCTACAAAACAAAGAAATAAGTTGATGAAAGGATACATATCTGCACGTAGTCGGCATACTTACTATTGTACGGTGTGTACTTATCAGAAATTAGATTTTCTAAGTTATAACCAACAAAGCCAACGACCGCTGCTACAGGAAGTGTAATATAGACAGCATTTCTGCGTAAAATTGCCATTATTATTGGCCACATTTTATTAACTATATTTTTATCAAACACCGGACCAACTTAAAGTTATAAAACAAAAATGTTATTGACAATAATTGTCAACATATGTTCTGACAAGTGTCACATGGGGTGTGTTCAATCAATTCCACACATTGTGCTTCTTGTTAGTTGAACGTATGAAAATTAAATACGAAAAAAAAAATTAGAGATATGTTTTTATTTTTAAAAATATATCTTTATTAAAATCAAATTGAATGTATACTGTGTTACCAAAAATTTAAACTAAAAATGTATTTTAAAAAATTTAAACAATTTTATTACATATACTCAAAACAAATGTTACGCCAGTACACATTTTATATCACGGCTTTTACAATTTAACGAATTTTTTTTTATTTTAATATACAACATTAGTATTAGGTGCAGTAAAATAAAATCCATTATTTTCCTAATAAATATCATTAGTTATCTGTAAACCGCATTGTATAAGAGATGCTTGTGAAAATTGACTGTCCCAACTTTTTAAAAATAGGGACGAGGACTTCTATGAGAGAGGATAATGAAATTACCTTTAAAATGGGAACAAGTTATAAAGTAAAAACTGGTATTTTGACATAAGTCAGATCATTCTAATTATAGTAAAAAGCGTTCACTTAGTAATATTAATTGCAATAAATATCTTATTGGGAATGTTATTTTATATGAACTGCGTTTATGTATACGTATTATATTTACACCTAATAAGAATAAATTAATTTAAAATTAATAATGGAAAAATTTTAACGAATTTTAATATCGAATCAATACTATAACTTCAATAAATTTTCGTATAAGCTCAGATATAAAAATGCACTTGTCATATAATATACGTAATATAGAATTCATATAATTTATATAAATATACAAATATATTTATATATTATAATATCAAAACTTTACGAATGAATATAATTTGTTAAATTAAATCATAAATTTTTATTATATTACTTTTTATACATAGCGAAATTCAATAAAATTTAAAACCATTTATACGTTAAATTAGTATTTAATAGTGAAATAGTAGCCTTTAGTATTCAGATCTTTTTCTTTCTATATATATTCAAATATTTATTGTTGTCTAATGTGGTAATAAGTTAGATATATTTTTTCAAAACACACGTATAAAACTTTTTTTGTTCTAAATTGTTCTGCTCATAATTATTACTTCTTTGGCAACAACAATCAAACCGTCCCTTTGGCGCAGAGGATAGCGCGTTGGACTTCTAATCCAAAGGTCGCGGGTTCGATCCCCGCAAGGGATGCACAACAGAGGGTTTTTTTTAATTTTTTATTAGATTTTTTTTTTATGTAAAATATATTTCAATATTTCTGAAAAAAATTTTGATACTTCTTTTAATACATTTTCAAACAAATGCAATGAATAAATGATGTTTTACCAAATTTGCAAAATAAGACATTAAAGGAATTCTAAACTGAATAAATATATAAACTAAAGTATTTGTTGGTAAATTTGTTGTTGACATTTTCTTGTGGAATATAGTTTTAAGAGTCATCACATTAAAAGACTGCATTAAATTATTAAATATAGTTAAATAATATTTATGAATAAACATATGTATATTAGTATTCCATTAAAATATTATAAGATTATAAAATAATTATTTTATGTTAAAATGTATAATCAATATTAAAAAAAAAAAAAAAGAATTTCAAAATATATTGCCTTTACTATTTTTAAATAAATACAACTTTAAATACTAAAAAGAAAATTACCATCAACTTAATTTATTAATTATAATTTATAATACACTTATATTATAAATTATTTAATGCAAGCATTGAAGCTGTTTTCAGTTTTAAACTAAAAATAAATCAAATTTCTTAATAGTTCAGCTGTAAACACAATAAAAACCACATTTGATATTTACATAGTCATTTTTGTTGTTATTTTTTATTTTAGTAAAAAAACAGCTTTACAATTACAAAAACAAAAACAATGCAGCCTACAGTAACACACGTATGGGTATATTTAGAAATTTTGAATGGGTAAGGTGACGTACATTAATTCTTACAATATTGAACTGAAGAACTGACGATGCTCTGTCAAATCAGAATATTTGAAATAGCCTCACTTCATATACACTCAGTAGAAAAAGTCTGCGTCCACCCACAAAATTTTTCTTAAATTTAGCATAACTTATTTAATTTTTACTAAAATTGATTTCTCTTTTCTGATTTTAATCAAAAAACTACAATAAAATGCAAACAAAAAAATTAATAGTTTATCTTTAGAAGAAAAATTAAATACAATTATATGCAAAAGCAACAATTTTTGAAGCAGAAAAACTATTCATCCACAATTTCTCTTGTGGGAAATTTATTTTTTTTATACAGTTGATTTATTTTTCATTTATTTGTTAGCACAATGTATGGCAAATTATCTTATTAGGGACCTTAATGAGCAAAACTGTCTAAATAAGACAAGTAGAAATATGGTACAAGTCATATATTGAAAAGGTATGAATAAAAATCATATCTTATCGTATGTTTCCACTGCTTACTTAATAAATTACTTAACTATAAGATTTTGTCATTTTCATTGGCATAAGTTACTTATTGCAAGTGAAAGAGCTTTTTTGTGTCTAAAAGTTTTTTGTGAATTTTAAGACAGCTTTTATTTAAAAGCTCAAAACAATATAAATTAAAAATTTTTCACTCATTACACAAAAAATTGAATATGTAATTGATATATTAAATCATTTATACATATACCTATATATAGTTTACAAATATATATCATATTCAATTAACAAAAACAAAGATTTTATTAACTACTTATTTTCTTAGTACGTTTTTTTACAGCTCACTGTTGTTTGTTTACATTTTACATATTAAATATATATCAAATATTAAAAATTTTGGTAATTTTCCTTTTTGGAAATTCATTTTTAAAAGCTGTATTTAACATTTATGTTTCAATTTCTCTTGCTTTATTTTTAAGTAAGTTAATAAGCACGGAAGCTCTTTGTATGGTTAATGAAATTAAATTAGTAAATTAAACCTACTAAGTAAGCAGTGGAAACATACTATTAAATGTCTACACTTCATACTCGCAAGTATTTTATTTATTTAAATCATATTTATTAGTATAGGTATTGTAGAATTGAAAGCCTATTTTTTTGAAGTCTATTGAAAGTCTATATATTTAGTAAAACAAACAAAAATAGTGCTAATAGCACTAAATTTGTTAAAATATGTTAACTAGCAATACATGTGAGACATTAAAAACGTGTGAGACATTAAAAGAATCCGTCTTACGTGATTGCACCAAATACTAGCATAAGTCTGACGATGAGCACTTCCAAACCCAGTTCTTTAGAAGAACGCTCAAATTACTCGCATCAACGAGTACCTGCTTATACTCGCCTGGCAGATTATACAGTTCCAAGCCGTAGCATCCATTCCTCTGACTTTTCGTTAGCTATGCGACACAAGTTTCCCAGTACTTCACCTAATACTCTGATGTGATGCATACAGATGCCTCCATTACTCCCATCTATAGCCGTGACTCTGGTCAAAGAATCTAAAATTAACCTACCTATAGTGTTTGCAAAATAGCCGCACTCCCAACATTTATCTTCCTTTCCCATATCTTCCTTCCAGCTTTTATGAGCATAGACTTTTAAGTACTAAGCCTTTATCTCTACTCTCATCCCTAATTACTAGAATAACGTTTCAGTCTCAGCCCTCCCGATCAGAGGTGGAAATCTTCTCCATTTATTATTAAGAGAATTCTCAGTAGGTTTAAATCTTATTTATCGCAAAAGAAAACAAAAGTGGAAAGATTGAACTAATAACGAGCAAAACAGGCACTACATGTACATATGTCTTGATTGCCTCACTTTAGTTTTTGAAACTTTACATTAATCAAAAGTACGAGTATTCAAGTGTCAACTTTAATAAACTTAAAATCTCTGAATTTCAAACGTTGATTGTCATTTCGGTTTTATTTGACATTATATCAGCATTTAAATATTCCACCATTTAACTACTTACATTGTCAACCATATTATATTGTCGTTATTCCAGTACTTCCTCAACTAGTCTCACAAAATTTGATTGCTTCACTACTTAGAACAAAGCTAGTACCGAAATTGTGGTTAAACAAAGGAAGCTCATTACGCTGGTGAATTGTTGTCCTTTGCCAACGTGGGTTGAGCAACCACTCTTCTATTCGGGAACTGCTCACATAGAGTAGAAGACAAAAATCAAAGTTAACAAAGTTAACATTTTGCAAGGAGTGAGCAAAGAAAAAAGCACAATAAGGATTTAAGGAATACTTAAAACAAACAATGTTAACAAAGCCTGGCAAGAAAAGTTTAATTTGAAACGCTAAGCGTTAAGCAACCAACACAGTTTGGAAGCAAAGGTAGAAGATTAAAACGAGGCTAAGTGTCAAGGAGGTAAGGAGGCTGTTGTTGTTATGTGAATAGATTATAATTTCATTATTGCGGAAAACTTTGTCAAATAAATGCACAAGTGACTATTGTTGTCTATTGTTTTTATAATTTGATAAGAAAAAACTTTTCAACTCTCTTAGGTCTTTTTGTCTATTGACTATGAGTGTTGTTGTGTGCTTTTTTTACGGCTTAAAAATGTCTTTGTTATTAAGCCCTGGTTACCTGCATGAAAGACGTTTGATGTTCTTAATTTGTTAGTATCACATTTTCATAAACTTTTTATTGGTATTAATTAAGGAAACTGAAAGTTGCTGAAAATTAGGATCTACTTAGTTGGAATGGTTGATTGCGATGCCTTTAACTATTTTTCGGATACCTAGTTCGAATTGTTCATTGTAATACCTTTTGCCATTTTTCGGCCATTTTATATTTCCATTTATAAAATCTCTGTAGCTTATCGCAAAAACTTGACCGATGAAATGATTATCAGTGGCTCTTCGGTCGGCTAATATTTTACCTTTAAGAGGGTTTCACAGATACCGAAACAAATAGTGCAATGTAGTCATATAGTACAATGTTCGGGCTAGACAGTAGGTGCATTAAAGTTTTCCATCGATTCATCAAAGATATTACATGGGGTAGCATTTTGGCATTGTCATAATGGCACAAAACTTCTTTTCTGTTGGCCAATTCTGATAGCTTTTCGTAGATTGTTTAGTTGAATTGTGAACATTAAAGGAACCACTA